TCGCCTCCATCACCCTTAGCATTAGCACTGACCTGGAGAGACTGATCTGTTGTAACCTGTTTGTCACCCAACCTTGGAGCAGAGCCTTATGTCTGCACTTCCACACCCCTTAGCAAGATTCACTTCTCCACTTTATGACCAGAGCCTGACACAGAACCTGGTACCCAGAAAAGCTCCAAAACCTCTTCTGAATGAATGGAGGCAGGCAGGAATAGCTATCTCCTGGGAGAATCAACACTATCAAACCCCACAGAGCCTTGAAATCAGACCCAAAATGGGCCTGACTTTCTCAAAACATAAAAGTAACTCCTTTCCCTTTAGTAAAATAAACTACAAATGGTGCCCACATGGGAACTTCCCCTAACACTCTCTTATGAATTCACAGCTCTCTTGTTGCTGACCACCTTTTTCTTTGGAAATGACCCAGAACTCCTTGGCTCACAAAACCGGAACTCCACCTTGGAGTCGGGCCCAAGGTTGCAGACTCACAGCAGAGGGCCGGGTAGAGGAGCCTTGACGCCCTCTGGATTTGCTCTGTGCCTGGCCACAAGCCCCATCCTTGGAGGAACAAAAACAGGAAAGGAGCAGAGGCCACCAGGGGCCTGAGACAGTCCCAGGGGTTAGGTGAAGCCTCCTTCCCCAAAAACCCTGATACCTGTCCAGCCTAAGACCCAAGACAGGGAGGAAACAGTGGGTGGACTATGGGCAGGCAAGGGTCAGAGGCAGGACATGGGAGGACATAAAGTATGGGAAAAACACACCCAGTCTTGGCTTTGACATCAACATGCCCTGGCTTCAAATACTGACTCCAACATCTACATTTCTGAAGGACACAGATACTATTTAATCTCTCAGAGCCTCAGTTTCCAGAGCTGTCAAAAGGGATTTCATAATTTCTACTTTAAGAGGATGGCTGGGCATTTTATCCCCAGATGTTCTAATCTGGCTGCATCCACACACCCTTCAATCCCCAGGATGAGTCTGTTATTCATTTGGGAAAAATACAACCAGATGTCAATCATGCTCTGTGACTTGCCCTCCAAAGTCTGGGTTTACCAGACTGTTTTGATGCTGAGCCATGCAGACTGGTCCACATTTACTTAATTGTATTAAGTAACTGGGCCAAGCTGATCCCTGAATCTAGCTTACACATGTGCATAGCAGGCATTTGATACATATTTTTCAATGAATGAACCAAATAACAAGATGGGTTGCGTCAAGATTGATCCCACAATCAACTCTGATAAAGTGAAATCTCTTTTTTCACAATCAGTGCATGTTGCCAGGCACTAATCCACCTTGCACTTTAATAGTGCAGACGCAGCAAGAAATCAGATTTAAACCATTATAAGGCTAACAACTCTGACATTGGAGTTTCCTTCTGATGCAGGCTGTGGGGAAAATAAGCAACTTGTATGTTAAATCTCCTCATTCTTTTTGGAGATTATCTGTCAGCTCCTCCAGGGTTTATACCTTCAGTAACCAAAGGGTTTTTTCCAAAATAGCATGATTATTCAGCAAAAAATAAATAAAAATGAAATGATCGTCATTCTGTACATAGGCTATCACCACATTTTGCAAGGATATTTAGCAGAAGCATTCTTCTATCAGTCTTGCTGAACAAGGAAGAACATTGCCTAAGACTGAGGTTTGGCAAAAGAAATCTGATGAAACCTGTCAGTTCTGTGACACTAGCAATGGTGTCCCTCAAGGTTCCTGGTGACTATAATTATCTAGCTCTGTGCTGTCCTACCTCAGGTTTCACATGTAAAACAGCTTCTTGGAGCTCATACTTGCCCATCCACCAAAACACCAGCATTCGAGGTCAAGAAAGAACTTCAGGGCTGGGGATGTGGCTCACCTGGCATGCGTGAGGCACTGGGTTCAATCCTCAGCACCACATAGAAATAAAATAAATAAAGGTATTATGTCCACCTAAAACTAAAAAATAAACATTAAAAAAAAAGAAAGAACTCCAACTCCCATCCCATACAGGGACCCTTTAGCATTAAGAAAATGCACCTACTAATGCAAACTTGCAGAAAGCAAACTTACAAGTCAGTTATTCCTTTCCAAAATTGCCCAAGGGCTGCTTTAATGGACACAATTTAAGAAACTGTGATTGGCACACAATTTGGCAAATGCCCTTTATTCAACAGAGAGGGAGATAACCAAACAAGGCAGGATAAAGATACAAAGAACCTGGGTCCTTGTCCCAGCTGAGTCACTAGTGAGCTGTGTCTCAGAGACAAGCCATTCAACTTCTTGGGTTTTGACTTCCTCACCCAGAGATGGAGAAGCATTAATAAAGAGCAAGTATTACTTCCTGGAGTTACGGGAAATCAAATTAATGTGAAAGCTGTTAGACAATACAAAGTCATATCCAGAAGGCAGGGACCTCTTCTGTCGTATGTGAACACGTATAAAAATAAGAAACACCCAGAAAATTACCTGTCTTCACTCTTGCTCATGCTAAATATGTTTCCTCATACTAATAAAGGGAACAACTGGATTGTAAGTGACTTCTGTGAATCAGGATGAACACTGAGTATATGAGATCCATTCTGTGACAGTTTTTAAGTGCCTCAAGACAGTCACACAGGCAAATGTGTCCATCCCAGCTCTGGGGAAGATCAGGCCCTAAGCCTGTTTATGTTTACCAGACACTCACAATGTGCTAGGAGTGCCCAGAACACAGAATGCATTGGACAGGACAACACACGTGGCCATGTGTGTGAAGTAATGGAGGTGCAGGCCACCCTTCCCACTGCTCACAGGTGTGCTGGGTTTGGGTAAGCTTTTCCTGCACTCTTGCTTGAACACCAGCAGTTAGATGTCTTCAACAAGTCCTCATCTCTTTAGGAAATTTAAAGGAGAGAAACAAAACAAACCCCATCAACTCCACCTTGGACAAGAGGTGTTAGTGCCCCCACATTGAACCCCCAGCAAGCACTGCATCTCCCAGAGGCCCCATCTCCACACTGCAAAGTAGCTGGGACTACAGGCGTACACCACTATGCCAGGTTTTACCCTCCCATTTCCTACCCTTCACATTGGTAAGTCCTAGACGTTGAATAAGCTTTTCAAACCATGGCCAGAAAGAACATCATGGGATTGAATAAACTATAGGGATGATCGAAACAATCAAAGCGGGGCGGGGCGGGGGGAAGTACCTGGAAACCTCCAAACAAAAAAATCACTGGCCTTGCCAGAAAAGGCAGTATAGGGGGAGGGGCAAGAGAACCCCAGAGGGACAACAAGTGCCCAACTCCTAGTATGAGGTTCTTGAACTAGTATACATCAGAAACACCTGGAGGGGGTGTTAAACACAGAAATGTAGAGTTTGCATGTGTAGCAGCTGATAGTGCTGGTCCAGGTGCCCCGTGAATGAAAACACTAAATAAATGAGCAAGAACTGCTCAGGCTGTCATTTCCACCAGGCAACTTCAGATTCTGATTCATCCCCTCTTTTTTTTTTTTTTTATTAGTTGTTCAAAACATTACAAAGCTCATGACATATCATCTCTTCACCCCAAACTGAGCCTTAAGAAAACTCACAGGAACTAGGCAGCTGTCTCACTAAGGCTATGAAGCCTTTTGTGAGTTTGTCTCACTCACTTCCCCTTCCCTCCCCTTTTCCCATTCATCTGCCCATAGTCTGAGGACGCAAACTATTATCAAGCCACTCATGAGAAGTATCTCCCAGGGCTGAGTCCAGTTTTCCCCTGTGTACAAGATATTTTGCAAAAGGATTCTGTTAGGGTGCCAAACGGGACAAGGCAGTGCAAGAAGAGCACTCAAGGACTCCTCTGGTCCAGTCCTCTGACCCAGTGCACAGTTTCTCTCTCATCAGCAACGAGTGTGTGCCCACTGGGATGGTGCCAGGGAAACACTGTGACCTGTTTTTCTGCTCACTAATTCGTCCTGATGATCTGCCACAATGCACTGTGATTTCCCGCTGAGAGCTCACTTCATGTCACCAACTGTCACACTGCCAGCCTCACCAACCACCCAATGCAAGAGAAGGCATCAAGTAGCCACTAACATTCACCTCTGGTGACTGGCAGGGCAAGAGCCCACAAGACCAAATCAGAGGATCTCTGACCCAGGAAGGGACAATTACAAATATTTCTTTCCTTCCCCAAACCGATTATATTATAGACCATACTGTTTACTAACAGCAGGAGCTCCTGCCACAATATATGATTTTGTTTTATGGGGAGTTAACGGAAGCTCCTACAGAGAACAGTGTTGTGAATGATGTAAACACTCTCTGATAACAGCCTATCCTAGGAGTTTGTTCTTCAGCTCAAACAGGGAAATCTGGGCAATATTCTCTCTCTCTCTCTCTCTCTCTCTCACACACACACACACACACACACACGTCAGTTTACATGTCAGTTTGGCCTTTTCTGGCAATGGGACAACAGAGGTAACACACTGAAAAACAACTTTGGGTTAAATAAGAAAATGAATGAAGAGTGATTCATTCACAGCCTTTTGATAAATACAGCCAGTGTGTACCTGGTCTTTTGTATGATTTTGTGCACACAAATAGGTACATGTGATGGAACAAATGTGAGTTTCCCTCCCATTAATAAAAGAAAAATCCAATTAGTTCTTTCTCATATGTAAAACTGTGTACCAGTTTCCAAGGTTGAGTGTCTGATTCAGTATAAACCCTATGAAGCCTTTTGTGAGTCACAGACCTTCTCAAAGGCAGCACCACTAACAACCTCCAAGTACCGCAAATTAAGAATCCATCTCTGATGTATCACACTCAAGACATAAGCCATAAACCTTGACAGCTGTATTCAGAAAAATCTGGAGCAGAAAGAGAGCTCAGCCTCAAGTGACAGTATTGGTGGGGGCATCAAATACACTGACTTTATACTTTTGCCCCCTCCCCAAAAGTCCACTCATTTGCATCCACAGATGAGGCCAGTCCGAGCTGTCTGCACACCCAGCCCCTTGGCCCCCTTGGTGGTTCCAGTCCTCACCTGTTTTCCAGGAGTGTCATGCATACCACCTCTCGCACTCCAGGGTTGTTGGCCTTCTCCACAGAGCAGCCCTGCAAGTTCCAGGTGGCCAGCCTCAGCACAGGCCGCCCATCCCTCGTGCCTCCAAAGGCCTCTACTGAGGGGCGAGTGGAGATAATCTGTGTGGGCCCCCCTGGTGGCAGGTCCAAGTCCTCACTCTGCAGGCTCAGTGAGGTAGGGCTAGGGTGAGGCTTGGCAGTGAAGGTCAGACCCCCATTGGTGTGGGTGGAGGGGGGCCTGGACTTCTCAGCAAACACCTGGTGTCGTATCCTGTCCAGGAAGGCAGCATTAATACCATCCATCCTGACCAGATCCTCAATACTGCGAAAGGGGCCATGTTCCCGGCGGTAGTCCACAATACTGAGGGCCATCTTCTCGGTGAGGCCTCGCACACTCATGAGCTGAGCTGGGGTGGCTGTGTTGATATTGACACGTGGTGTGAGGGGCACAGTAGTGGCTAGATGGTGAGGCTGCTGCTCAGCCAGGAGGTCCCTCCGCAAGGAGCTAGGAGAGTGCTGTGCAGAGCTACCCTTGCTGCTCACACAGATCTCAAACTTGACCTGCTCCAGTTTTGTGGCACCCACACCACTGACCAGTGCTAGGTCCTCCACTTTCTTGAAGCCACCAATGTATTCTCGGTATTCCACGATGCTTCGAGCCACAGCACGTGTCACCCCAGGGAGGGTCATCAGTTCCTCCTCTGTAGCAGTGTTGATGTTGAGCCGCTCCTGATTCACCAGGATGTTGCTGAAGTTGCAGGCTGCGCTAAACTTGCGGCTATGGGACAGGTCCGAGGGGTCCCTGGGGATGGAGCGGTGGCAACCCAGGGTACTCCCCATGGCCAGCTAATATCGGGAGCCCAGGAAGGCCTCACCACTGCAGAACTCTGGCTAGGGGAGATGCCCCGTTGACCTTATAAGCACAAAAAGAACAAAATGCAGAATTTAGGGGCCGAAGAGGTTGCTGCAGACAAAGGCCAAATCTTCCATGGCTAGAGTGTCCAAAATTATCTTTCACTTGGCCACCTAGAAAAGAAATTAACACATGAATTGACTGAGTGAGACAATCTGCTATTAGCACTCCTTACCTAGTGCTGGAGTTCATTACCAGATTTCCAGGCCAGTGGCTGCAGGTGAACTGAAAACGCACAGTAAGGTTGGCCCATTCAGATTTTCCTCGGGAGACGCCTGGGTTTTTTGTCATACCGCGATCCAAAAGGCTATAAGCCACCTTTCTCGAGAGCTATCTGCATCGGTATCACACCTCTCTGCCTTTCAACTCTAGCAGAGCCAGGGCTGCCTCCTCACTTTAGTCGCCCCCACATGGACTGACTCCGCGCCTGACACTCAGCGCCGCCTGCAACTTAGGAACTCTGTGCTTGCCTGTGCGGACACCGAGAAGAGGTTTATGGACCCTCACCAGACCCGCCTCCGGTCCCGATCCCAATCTCTGGGCCGCTCTGCAGGGGGGAGGGGGGTTCGTCTCTCTTCCACCTGCGGCTCGGAAGCCTGAGACCGGCCAAGGACAGCGCGGGCCCCTACCTCCAGCCCTGGCGCCCACGCGGGTGCGGGGCAGTGGCCGGGCCTTGGTCCGCGCGTCCCTGTCTTTCTGCGGGAGAAACTCTCAGCGTCGCTCTCCCGGAGCAGGCAGGAGCTGCAGGGTTGCTCGCAGGCGGCGGTAGGGGTGGCGAAATCCGGCTGCTGAAGCTGCACCAAGACTTGCTACTGCACCAGGACTTGCGGCGTCGCCGCGGTTGCGTTTATCCAGGCAAAAAGTCTGCACCCAACTCGGGCGCGGGATTCGCAGAGCGCGTCCAGACCCCAGCACTAGAGCAGCCGCTCGCAGTCTGTGTCAAAGCCAAAGTCCCGGCTGCGCCGCCCGCGCCTCCGCGGGCATAACCACGCCTCCTCCCGCGCGGCAACTCCTCCCTGGGACTCCCGAGGGCACGTGGGGGCGGGGCGCGGGCGCGAGGGGGCGGGCCTGGAACCCGAGAGGGCGGGGGCGGACTCCTGGGGTGCGAGAGGCGGAGCCACAGAGCCCCCGGACCCGCCCTGAGCGCCAGGAGGCGGGGAGCGGACCCTAGAACACAGGGGCGGGGCCCTGGCGCGCGGGGGCGGACTCCGGGGGGCAGGGGCCGGACTTATGTTCTGGGGGGCGGGGCCTACGCCGCAGCGGCGCGGGCAGCTCACTGGAATACTGTCTTATCCTCTGCTGCTGGGGTACCAGGGTTCCCTTTCCACGCGGGACGAAGGGCTGGTTGTGCTGGATAAAGGCTGTTTTCTATTGTCCAAGACGAGACCTGCCCGGCCGCTTTTCGTCCGCCTTTGGGGCGTGAGAACCAAGGCCGGGACACTCCCATTGAGAGAGGCATCCCTTACGGTCCAGGCTTGGTTCGGTTCTGCAGAACGTTCAGAGAGGATACTGACTGGGATCTTAATTTCTACCCTGCTTGCCTCCTTTTCTTCCACTAGCGTATTACCTGGGTTCTGCTCAGAAAGATGTCCTCCATCCAGTAATGCCACAGCCATCTCTCTGTGCCCCTAAAGAGGTCTCGCGCCCTCTCCTCTGTATGTTTACATGGGTCGCACACAACAGTGTTCCTCTTTTGTACATTTAGCACTCTGAGTAAATAAGGATACGTTTCTGTTATTAGGAAATGCAAGCTGCATCCCCAAATTCAGAACTGATTTTGAATCAGGTTGCAAAATGATAATTTAGTTAAAGATTAAAGAGCCTGCTGCATGAAAATGGATACCTGGAGCTAGAGTATTCGATTAAACAAACCATGTGGAGATACCACTGAATACTTTGACCCTAGGCCGTTAGTGTCCTCTGAAGAAATAGATTTTACCCAACCAATGTGACCAATTGCTTCTGCTCTGAATTCCAGGGATCAGATCAGAAGAAACGGTAATTCTCACCGAAGGCAGAAGGTATTTCAGATTGAAATGAGCGGCAACCTAGGTTTTGCAAAATGCTGAGGCACCTTCTCCTGCTGGGGATATTAAGGCCCTAATAATTGCAAATGACAAAAACCAGGTTAAATTAGCTTAGATTTAAAAGCGGGGAGGGGAGGGTGATTGATGGGATTTCCTACTTTCTTGGAGATAAGTTAAGGAATAGATTTTAGCCTCAAGCTGGGCTGCATCCAGCTCAAAGTCCTCAGGCAAGATCTGACTCCCCACCTCTGGCTCCACCTTCTTTTCTTTTGGTTTCATTCTCAAGCAAGCTATTTCGGATGTTGGCAAGAATACCCCCTCTTCACCTCCCACAAGACCCTCCCATACAAGTGTGAAGCTACATACAGTAACTCTATCCCCTGAAATCCTGATGTGAGCTGGAAAAAAAAAAAAGTTTCAGAAAAGCTCCTTTTAGAGGAAAGAATAATTGTCACTGAGCTGAAGAATGCCTTGATGAGCCCTGTGTTGAACAGCCTGGGACATGGCTGTTGGGCCATAAGAAGAGAAACCATATATTTTATTATCCAAGCCAGGACATTTGGAAATAAGAAGGGACATATTCATAATTTCCCTGGAACAATAGCAATAATCTGGTATTATCCTCCATAAATCTAAGCATATGCTTTCCTTTGTTAGAAATAAAATCAAGAGAGAAAAGAAAAAACAGAGAGTGAGAGAATAAACAAGAAAAAGAAATGAAGCCAAGAGGTAACTCAACAGAGGTGCATCAAATACACACACACACACACACACACACACACACACACCTGAGATGACTAACTTTAACATGAATATATCTAATGTTGGTCATATCAAATACATAGACCATATTAAATGCTCAGAGCGTGTGGAGCAAATGAAACTGTCACACATTGCCAGTGGGAGTGTAAGTGGATACAACCACTTTGGAAACCACTTCAGCAATTTCTTAAAAAGTTAAGTGTACACAAATCATACAACCCACAATTACACTTACAGGTAACAACATTGAAAGCATGAAACCCAAAGTCTTATGCATGGATATTCATAGGAGCTTTATTTGTTATAGTAAAAAATCAACCACTTCAAATCCACCAGAAGATGTCATGGTTTGGATAAGGTCCAAGTTTGTCCCCCAAGGGTTCATGTGTTGGGAGCTTAGACCTCAGTGTAGTCATGCTGGGAGGTGTTGGATGTTTAAGAGGTGGGACTGAGTGGGGGAGGTCATTGTCCCTAGAATGTCCATAGGACTCTGAGTTGGTTGACCTGAAAGAGTTTTCAATAAAAGAACAAAGCTGGCTCTTCTTGCTCTGCCTCACAATCTTGTGACATGATTTCTCCCTGTCTCACCATTTTGTTTTTCATCTGCCAGGACTTCTCCTAAAATGAGATCGTTCTATCACCATACCCTAAACCTTCAAAACCGTGAGCTAAATAAACCTCTTTTCTTTGACATTTCATTATAGTAACATAAAACAGACTAACACCATAAATGAATGAATAAACAAATTGTAATATAATCATACAATGGAATATTACTTAGCAATAAAAACCAGTAAACTATTAACTCAAACAACAACATTGAAGAATATCAGAATCATTCTAATGAGGGAGAGAAGCCAGGCAAAAATAGAGAACATAATTCATGATCTATATATTAAAAATACATACTAACATCTATATAGAGAGTCTAGACACTGGTTGCCTGGGGATGGGCTTGAGGGAGGAATGGATCAAAAAGAACACAAAGAAACTCTGAAGGGTGGGAGGGTGGTAAAAGTGTACTTTGAGAGCTGGTGGTTTCATGGGCATGCATATGTCAAAACCAATAGAATTATATGTATTAAATATGTATGGTTTAGTGAACTTCAACTCCATCTCAATAAACTTGGGAAAATCTTCAAAAAATAAAATAATTTTAAAAGGAAGTTACTTGGAACTTAAAAAAAAAAAAAGGCAAGATTTGTTTGGGCAGTGGAGAGGTGAAGAGGTGAGCCAGAATGGAAGCAAGGAGGTTGAAGACAGTTCAAAAAGAAGACCCGTTGACAGCTTTTCCACCAGGTTGAGTTGGGGGCCTGGGTAAAGGGGTCCTAAAGGGCTTCAAGACTAATGATATCTAATAGTATGTTGAGTTGTGCTGTTTTCTATATAACTCCTCCACTCCCACTCCCATACAGGGACATTGAGCCTCTAATAAGGTATGTAATGGCCTTTGAATGAGTGTTACTTACAAGAAGTAAGGCAAAGGAGCTCAAACTCTCTGGGTGTATTAAGTTTAGTAAGAAAGGAACAGCTACAATATGAAAGACGGCAGAAAATTTCAGGAAGAAAGAAATCAGAATGTGACAGGACCCAGCAAAATATCCAACTTTCGAGAAGCCACATTGAAATCGAGAAGTTGGTTGCATTTTCTTTATGCAAGGAATCGGGAGGGGCGGGGGTTAAACCCCTGTAATTTGACTCTCAAGGATGGTATGGCTCCAGCTGACATTTGAGTTACATGAGGATGTCAAAGGCCAGGGTTTACATCATTCTACCAAATACTACATGCAGTGGCCTCTGCCCCTTCAACCCAGTTCTTACTTGGGGCCTGGTCACAGAAGACCAAGGTCATTAGCCTTTTGCTTCTTAGTCAGCAGTTTCAAAGATAAAGGGGGATTTGGGGGAAAGGAGAAGTGGTAGAAGGCAAAAAAGGAAAACTCTCATTAATTTTCAATTTCAACCCCATAGTGCTAGGACCTGGAGATACTGTGATGAGTAAATTCATGATTCTTCTGTCCCAGAGCTGATTAGCAAGCAGGAATGCACACACTGAATTGGTAAGAGCAATGCAATTTAAAATAAAAGGAAAAGGATATGTCTGTGCATTAAAAATAACTTTGTCTAGGGAACTTCTCTGAAAAGTAAAGATTAAGATCAGATTTGAAGGTTGAATGGGGAAATATTGCCCCACCTCTAAATACTCATTCCTGCAAGGCCACCCCCACTTTCCCAATCAATGAGGTCAAGCCAGGCTACTGACAGTGACCTCGGCACCACCATTTGTGCATTGGCCAAGCTGTACACAGCAAACAGTACACTGTCCCAGATGTCAGGGTGTCAAAGCAACAGCTCCCACAGGGGGACCTCAACAGTAGATCTGTCCCTCTCCACCAAAGTAGATTCCTGTGTCCCCAAATTGATGAAACCCCAGGCATTGGCAGTGCTCTGGGACATTTTAAATCAGACCCTGCCTCACTGGAGTCCTGGCATAGGGTGGCAGAAAATGACCACCCACAGACACCATGACAATGGCAATGGACATACCTAGTTGTGAAATCCTGTGTACAGATGCTCAGTGTGAGTCCCACCAGCAGGAGCATTGGCATGTGCTTCTCCAAATGTCTGCTGCTCTGCTTCAGAGCACTGTGTGGAGTCTATACCTGGGGCCCACAGAGAGCCAGGCTGCCCAGCCTTCCCCCTGCCGTGTAGCCCCTTCCCACAGGGACTCTAGAATTGTCCATGTGACCTGTTCTAGCCAATGGGACATTAGCAAGAACAAGGCAAGCAGAGGTTTGACAAGCACTTGCCATTGGGGACCCCAGCTGCCCTGCAGTAGGGAAGGTCCTGCCCCCTCTTGTGAGAGAGGCCATGTGGAGAAGAACTAAGGCAGCCCAGCCCTCAGCAGCTATAAGGCCTCAGAGGTGAGAGAGAAGCCTCTGGGCCCTTCCAGCCCAGCCCAGCCCCAGCAGGATGTCCCTACAGGAGGGAGCCCAGCAGAGACCACAGTTGCAGAGAAGCCACCTGCTAAGCCCAGCCACCCACAGGCCATGGAAGATAGCCCTGGGGCTGTTTGAAGTTTATGCACATCAGAGTGATCAGTCTGAGCCGTGTTTATCACACAGGTGTGGCCCTCAGCCCTGATTGCCAGCAAGAAAATCATCA